GCATATCAATTCCCCTACCGGAAACTCATACCATTACCGTTTCAGCGACTGAAAAACCTACCATCGATATTGAACAATTGATACCGAGAGAGTTCCATTGCTATATTCATATGTTTGAAGAATATGATGCTTCAGTTCTTCCAACACATTGACCGCCCCATGATATGAAAATAGTACTAGAAGAAGGCAAACAACCACCATGGGGACCGATATATGCCCTATCCCAAATTGAGTTGAAGGCACTTTGGGACTATCTTCAAGAAAATCTACCCAAAGGAATTATCCGCCATAGCGAATCGCCAGCGGGAGTGCCTATACTATTCGTCAAGAAAGCCGATGGAACCCTTCGTTTATGTGTCGACTATCGGGGCCTCAATGCAATTACGATTAAAAACCGTTATCCATTAACGTTGTTGAAAGAAACCTTGGCTAAATTATCGAGAGCAAAATATTATACCAAATTAGATTTACGCTGGGGATATAACCAAATCAGGATAGCAGAGGGAGATGAATGGAAAACGGCATTTCGAACTCGATATGGACATTTTGAATATACGGTAATGCCCTTTGGATTAGCGAATGCTCCTGCTACATTCCAACATTGGATCAATGATATCCTACGTCCCTATCTTGACCAATTCGTAACGGCCTATTCAGATGATATTCTTATCTATTCCGAGTCCCTTGCAGAACACAAAGATCATATTCAAAACGTTCTAAAGGTACTTGATGAAAATCACGTTCATCTCAAACCCGAAAAATGCGAATTTATGGTTCAAGAAACGAAATACCTTGGCTTAATCCTTACCCCGAATGGCAACAGAATGGATCCGAAGAAGGTTATCGATGTTTTAGAATGGTCTACACCAACGAATCTCCATGACGTCCAAGTATTTTTGGGATTTACAAATTTTTATCGACGGTTTATTTTAGGATATTCAAAAATTGTTGCCCCGCTTACAGCTCTAACGAAGAAAAATGTAAAATTCGAATGGACAGATGAAAGGGAGGAAGCATTTCAGACTCTAAAAAAGATGTTTACAACGGCACCTATACTAGTTCATTTCGATCCGGACTGAAAGATTGTGGTGGAAACCGATGCATCCGACCATGTTTCCGCAGGAATTCTATCGCAACGTGATGATGAAGGAGTTTTACATCCATCAGCAAACCCGTAACCTCCGCTAGACGCTCTGGATGCTCCAGGTGCCCTGGGCGCTCGGTAGATAAACTGCCTCTCCAGAGAAGCAAGGAACGTTCCTGGCGCCTCCTGGCGCATAGCGTTCCGCCCTGGCGAGCACCAGTTTACCCTGCGCGCCCAGGCGCGCACTAGTGCAGCTAGTGCGTCCCGAGAGCAATACACTGACCCTGACGGGGTGAGCTCGCGCCTGACGCTATCCAGGAGGTGTACTCCTTCCCGGACGCTCTCGCGACGGAATGCTTTTACTCCTGACGCTATCCCGACAGAATGCTCTCTCGCCTGACGCTATCCCGCCTAAAGGCTCTCTTGCGTGACTCTCTCCCGACGGAATTCTCTCTCCCCTGACGCTCACGCGACGGAATGCTCTCTCGCCTGAGACTACGACCTATCTCCTGGGCGCTACTGGAGCTCTCTGACGACTCCTGGGCATATCGCTAATGTTTCTGGAGCACTCCGGACTGCTCCCGCGACGCCCGACGCACCGTATTTTACCTTTCAGCGCCCTGTTTTTATCAGGCATATTACTGTTTGCTTTAGTAGGCACTGCTTTGCAGAGCATCCAGAACCGTAATTCTATTACTAAATACTAACACAACAAACGTCTAGAAATCGCCAATCGGATATAATACAGGTATATAGGTATCTCCTCAAAGCACTCGCCGCTGCACTCCAAAGCACTCGCCGGTGCGCTATAGATCATCTTCCTCCTCACCTTCCTCGCGATCCTCCTCTTCATCCCTCCCCTCGCCTTCATCTTCCGCTTCAATGCCCCGAAGTTGAGCGTGAACCACCTCTGCCTGGCCGTTACCGTTGTCGGAACCAGAGATATCCCCTGGAGCACTCGGGGGTGCTCTTCGAGCATTCCGGAATGCTGCAAGATCCGCCGCTAACGCTTCATCGTCCTCACTGAATCCATCTTCGGGTATCACCTCGATAGTGATGCCCTTCTTCTCTCGTATCTATCAAGGTTAGCCTCCGTATTTAGAAAAGCACCCCACCATTGTAGCATCCATCCTTATAGCACACCTTTTCCCGGAGGTTATCCTTGATCACCTCCAACGTTGCCTCCTGGTTCTGCCTACTCCTCCCCTTCCATGTGTTGCTCATCCTGTTGAACGTTTCTACTCGTATTCAATGTCAGCGTGGAGATACACTATAGCCCTGGGATCGCCCGTCACGGCTCTCAAAGCACTCGCTATAGCTGTAAGGGGATGTGAGAACATCGGGGATGCTTACTAACAACACTCTCATTCTGTGACTGGTAATGGTCAGGCTTCACGTATGTTCCGGCTGACCATGCCCGAATGCCATGCCAAATAGCAGTCGATATCAGGCAAATAAAGGTAGGGGTAATCCGCTCAAGGAACTCGGGGTCTTTTACCCCTCGCATCCTGACCCCATCAAAGTATTTATAGTACAATATGTCGATAATCTCTGGTGCAAGAAACCGTAGACGGTAGGTCTAGTATCTGTTAGCAGCGTTCGCGAGTGCTCTCCAAGCATTCCGGGTGTCCGGGCGCTCTCCGAGCATTAACACCCGAGTGCTCTATTAGTACCCCCGGATGCTCTCTGGGGATTGATCATACCTCATAATCCTGCGCAGGACTCAAGAAGCGATCATTCTTCAAAAGATACTCTACTTGAGCAGCCTTAGCCTCAGGACTCGAGAGCTTTCCAAGCCCATAGATGGTCGAATCCGCCAGGCGCCCTTTAACCTCGTGCATCAAGTACGAACGCACTCGGGAGTGTAGACTTCTGACCTATCGTTGTCAATTATGCTTCCTGAGCACTCGTCAACGTTTCAAGAGCATTCACCTGTTTGATAACAACCTCGTCGAGATCTACCGTACATCCCACCATGCGACTGGCAGCTGCCCACATGTTTACTACCAGGACTGAAAGCCGAGCTGCAGGTGGAAAAGGCTCATGGAGAAGAGTGTGGTCCCCGATTAGCGTGCTGCACTCCTTCTCAATCCTCTAGGCTTGCATTGAGAGAACGTTTGCACTCCTCGAGCTAGGTAACAGGGATCTCTGAGATAGGTTGCTCGTATGAATGTTACCTGTGCTCTCAAAGCGGTTGTCAGTGCTATCGGGAATACTACTAACCTCGCTTTCTGCTATAGGAGCATTTCTTTCCCTAATTGACGACGAAAGCTGTGCAATATCGTAGACTCTTGGTTGCGCTTCTGGTAAATATACCTGAGGGCTTGAGGGAATCCGGGGACTGCCCATAGAGCTCTCGCCAACGCCCTCAAGAGGCGGGAAGGAACGATAAGGGCGGTAAATGGGTGAGGAATCGCCGTACCTCGAACGCATCGAGGAAAGATCGATGTGCCATGTAGCAGAGCTATAGTCAATATCGCGCGAATACACAGGTACAGAAGAAGGCATGCACCGTGAGGATATCGGAGGTGCTCTCTGCGATGCCGGGAATGCTCCCTGAGATGCCTCCTGGCTGGGTACCGGAGTGGGTCTGTGGGATGCGGTGGGCACCCACTAGGATGCATTCTGTCTGGCTGCCGAAGTGGGAGCTGCTCTCCGTACTACCTTTGCACCTGGACGTGCTCCCCTCTGAAACGTTAGCATCTTGACCTTAACATTAATGGGTGGGATGGAGTCGAACCTGTACCACATCCACCGACACGTCGGAGGAAGCAATAACCTCCGCTACCACTCCGGTTGGTCTCCTCCGAGCATTGCCCAATGCTCTGGCAGTAGTCGGCTGTACTGTACGAGGCCTCTTCCCCGTACTCTGGGATCTCTGCTGGGTGGAAGCTTGAGATTCTTCTTCCACGTCATCCAGATTCTCTTCAGAGCTCTCCTGGGCGTTCTCTGGGGAGTCGTCATACTCCGAGTAGCAGGTATCGGCGGTTTCCTCCACCTCTTGCACTTCAACGCTGCCAGTATTGCCATCGGGGAGATGGAATTCTACCCTTCTAGGGCTGCTTCTTCCAGTCGATGTGTCGGTAGAACGGAGAAGCCCTTTACGCGCTATTGGGGCGGTGGTCGACTGACTGCTCCGAGTTCTGGTCGATTGACTACTCCGAGTGTTAGTTGACAGTGCGGTCAATGCTCGGAATGGTATTTCAGACCCGTCAGTCTGTGAATCATCATGCTCTTCGGGTGGTATTGGGAGTCGTGGTTGCTTTGTGGAAAGAGGTGTAGAACCTGCGGATCGCTTGTTGAGAGGCATTCTGCTTGCTGGCAGGAGTATCCAATGTGCTCTAGTAGCATTCTTCTGCGTGTTTTGATTATAAATCAAAGCTTGGCGACAGAGTTTTCGTCGCCAAGCGAGAAGAATTTTCACCGCTAACCTCCTATGGTATCGATCCGCTCCACCGCATCCCGGTCCGCTCACCCGCATCCGAGTCATTTTTAATCACTCGTTTTACTGCAATTTCTAAAGCGATAACGAGTGCTCTGAGAGCAATGTAGAAGTTTGAGCCGATTGCAATTCAATTAAGAAGAAATGGAAGAACGTAATCAAATCTAATCTAATCTAATCTAATCTAATATAAGAAAACATAAAACGATGAAACCCATCTATTCATATAAAGAGATCTAGACATCAAATAGCACCGAACCGAATCCCAGGAGCACTGGCCAGTACTCAGAAAACAAGACATACCGCTATTCAGAGGTAAGCGATCGTTGAGCAGAAAGAGAGACGAGAGATTATACCAAAGAAGAGTAATGATGCCAATAGCACTCGCAAGTGCTCAGAAAACAATACACACCCCTATCCAGAGGTAAGCATTCGTTGAGCAGAAAGACAGACGCGAGATTATACCAAAGAAAACTAATGATGCCCGCCATCACCACCACCGCCCGGAGGTCCGCCCGGAGGAGAATTACCACCACCACCACCACCGCCTCCACCAACACCACCGCCTCCACCACCGCCTCCACCACCAGCAGCCGCGAGTGCGTCAGCAGCTCTCTTGGCTGCTATCCCGGCAGGCGTCCAGATTACTCCCTGTACAAAGTTCGGGTCAGCAACCCCAACACCCAAAGGATATTTCCTCAGGTATTTGGGGTCTAAGTCGTCGATAGCATCCTCCTGTCTATCTCGACGTCTAACAAGAGTCTGGATTAGCCTTTGATTACTGGCATCAGTTCTGGGTAAATATACCCTCAGTCCTTTAGCATTGATGCGGTGGCTTCCCTCCTCATAATCAGAGTCCTCTGTAGGAATATCGATCATGGTATAATCGTCTTTTCGATATGAGGGAATGCCCGGTTCAGCGGGGGTGATTCAGCGCCACCCAAATTAGCACCCGCACCTGCTCTGTGGAGCACCGCCAGTATCCTCCTAGGCCTGCCAACGCTATTCTTCAACCAACCTTCGACCTCTTCCGAATCAGTGATTTGGACCTCCATTGGCCGAACAGGTGGATTGGATGCCGGTGGAACGTTATCCAGTGCTCCCCAGATACTCCTGATTGCGCTGCCGGATGCGGTGTGCTTCAGGATCAAATTGCAGAGCTCTGGAAACGTTATCTTTGTCAGAATTCCAATGAACGAAGGCTCATTTTGTGGATCGTTCCAGTCATAGGTAGGAGGCAGGACAACGTTGAAGAATGCTCCTAGAGCATCGGGGTCTACCACCGTGACCGTTATGGAAGGTCTATCGAGATCTGCGGACACTGGATCCCGTTTACGCTTCCTAGAGCGTTGGGCGGGCTGTCCACCGTCGTCATCATCATCACTATCGCCGGCAGCTTCTCTGTACTCGCGATTTCCCTGCCCTCTCGATAGCTTTTCCTTCTGTCCAACATCACCAATCAGCCACTTCAAAGCGTCCGCGAGTGCTCTACGGGCTTCGGAATCGACTCCTGTCCAAATAGGCAGGAAAGCACGGAGGGAGCGTAAGTTCATCAAATACAGGCATAGAGCATCGAACACTGCTGCCCCGGAAACGCTTTTATTAACCCAACCGACGTTCTGCATCTGCGCTTTGAGGCTGTTGCGGATGTTAGTGTACAATTTAGGTAGGTTGAGCAAACCTAAAGTCATTTTTGCTTTATTCGCCTGAGTCATTCTGAATTGACCTTTAGCGGTGGGAGATGCTTCCGGAGCACTCGTGTATGCTACTTGAGGACTCGGGTATGTTTCTGGGGCACGGGCTCTGCTGCTTCATCTCTGCTCTACCGGTGAAGGAGTGTCTAATGCTCTGGAGGGGCCAGAAACTGAACTCTGTATTGGTAGCCGGCGAGGGGGTCGGGTTGCTGTCTTTGGTGCTCTCTGTGAAGCACTGACGGTTACTGCTGGAGCAGTGGAATGAACTGGAAGCACGGCTCTACGGACAGGGGCTGGTGGTGGTGGCGGTGAGCTGCCGAGTTCTGGGGATTCACTGAGGACTCGTAAAAGTGCCCGTCTTCTTCTTCTTCGGGGTGCCGGGCTTGCTGTCGGGCTTGCTGCTGGGCGTGTTGCTGAGCGTGCTGCTGGGCGTGCTGCTGGGCCTGCTGGACCTGCTGCTGGGCGTGCTGCTTGGCGCTTTGCTGAGTGTGTTGCTGGGCCTGCTGCTGAGCCTTCGCCGTTGGAGTCAGAATCAGATTGCAATGATATCCACTGCTTTGGGAAGAGTCCTTCAGCGTTTTTAGGGCTCTGGCTGAGGTGGGCAACGCAAGGAGGCACTTGCGAGTGCTGAGGGGGAGGTGGTGGGCGCTGCCGAGGAGGTGCTTGATGCTGTACTGAAGGCACTGCTGGGCGCTGTGAGGATGGTGGTGTGAGCCGCGGGGGATGTGGTGTGAGCTGCGGGGGACTTGAAAGCACTGGCGAGTGCTCCGAGGATGTCTCTGCTATCTCTTCCGGGATGGCCTTTAGAGTTTTCCGCGACTTTCGACGTGAGGAACGGGAAGATCTATGCTTCTTGTGATTTCGGCGGGAGCGTTTGTAGCTACTACTGCTACTGCTGCTACTACTGCCACTATTATCATTACTGGATTCGTCTGAATCTTGATCTCGATAGCACCTCTTTCGACTTTTGTGAGGTTTTTCGATATTCTGTGAGCGCTTGGGAGTGCTCTGAGAGGAGTTTGGAGTCTATTGTAAATGTGTGATGAATATGGTTCAGAAAGCAATCGGGTTAAGGAAGATATACCATCTTATATATGATTGCAAAGTGTATAGCTTGAAAGCTTGAACTTGAAACGAAACTTGAAAGCTTGAACTTGAAACGAGACTTGAATGCACTTTCAAGAGGTAATCTTGAAAGCTTAGATAGCAGAGCGCTTGAAGCGATAGGTAGTGCTGGACTTGAAATTCAAGATGGTTAGGAATATCTCACGAACTGGAAGGAGGAGAAGGGTGCTCTTATACCGAGTACAATAAGCTTTACCAGGCTCATCATCGTCCTTCCTAGAGCACCACCATATGCTATACGAGCACTCGAGATTGCTATAGAAGCACTCGAGGGTGCTGTACGAGCACCCTCGGGTGCTCCTACCATGCTGAATGTTTGCTCCCATACATGACGTAGATGAATGCTCTAGGCGTACTCGAAAATGCTTTGGTGGTTTGATTCAATTTGAAATGACGTAGATGAATGCTCTAGGCGTACTCGAGGATGCTCTGATGGTAGCATTGATAGTGGTGTCGGCAGCATTCCGGTTTTGGGTTGGTGTTTGTGTTCTTGTTGGTATCGGTGCTCTGTGCGCTAGGAAGCTGAGTCGGAGAAAATCCATCCTTTGAGATCGTAGTCGATATTGGTGTTGAATTTGGCGCTGAGAATAGTCTCTCGATCTGAAAAGCATCCGCGAGTGCTCACAGAGAGTGTGCGAGTGCTCAGAGGGTAGAACGTAGCATCGCTGGCGGCCTGATTGTGGTGATTGTTGTTTCTTCCTATTGTATTTGTGTTGGGGTTTGTGTTTGCATTATTCGGTTGGAGATGTATGAGGTCAAAATCTGCCTCGCTATGGTGGAGGTGCGAGCGCAAGGCTCACGTTCATTTGGCGAGCGTTCTGTAGCGAGCACTCCGCATGGGGTGACAAATCGCTTGTAGAGCACTCTGTACAACCGCTTGGCAGCGAGAGCCTCATGTGGTGACTAATTGCTATTAGAGCACTCTGCACCACCTGCAGGAAAGAGCCTCCTCAGCATTGGCAGACTGCAAATTCTCGAATTCAATGAAATCGTCTTGCCCTTTTTGCAGCAAGAAGTACAGCTCCTCCGCCAACTTTGACAGACATCTTCGAACGACCTATCCTCTGGAAGCATATGAATGGTTGGGAAACCAATATTCGCTCCTGGATCACGATCAACCTGCGGAGACTCCCGACGACACTGATGAAAGCCCAGAGAGCATTCCTGACTGCTATTCAGACACGCATTACGCTTCGGAGTCGGATAGTTTTGACCAAGATTCCGGTAACAATTCGGACCTAGAATCTGAATCATATTTCGTGATGGAAGAGACAGACGGCGATTTAAATGGACATAAGGCATCTACAACAGTTTATGAGGGTGCTGGGGAACCACTTTACCGCTCGGAGGACTACGACGAATGCTCATAGAGCATTCTCCGATACCCATGGCACCCATTCAGGTCAGCATACGAGTTCAGAATGGCAAGGTATTTCATACTGTCCAAAGCCTCCCAGGGAAACATCGACAGCTTCTTTCTACACGCTCCGCCAAGCAGTGACGAGTGCTCCTACAGCACTGGGCGAGGTTTTATCAAGAGGCTGGAGGAAATGAACGACATATTGGGAAAGTCGAGCTGGAATCATTCGGAGGTGGATATTGGGGGGGAGAAGATCTCTTACTACTACCGGGATCCAATGCTAGTCGTCCGATATCTTTTGGGGCAACGTGCCTTCCGGGATTCATTGGTGTACTCGCCGGTGGTGGAGCATAATGAATTCGGTGAGCGAATGTACGTAGAAATGCATACAGGAGATTGGTGGTGGGAGATACAGGTCCGTAGGACTCGCCCTCTCAACTTGAACTCCGAGTACTCCAGGAGATGTCGCTAATGCTTTCTCGATAGAATACGTTACCGGAGGGGTCCCCTGTCGTACCAATTATCTGCGCGTCGGATGGCACACATCTGACAAATTTTAGCGGGGACAAGAAAGCCTGGCCAATCTATCTTACCATCGGGAACATCAAGTCGTCGGTGCGCAACAAGCCCACAGGGCATTCATTCATTCTCCTAGGGCTTCTACCTGTGCCACCGAAGCTCGGGAAGAATACAACACTCGCTAACTCCATTTTACGACGTCAGAGTCAAATGGCGCTGCACCGCGCTCTTGGGGAGATCTTTCAAAGCATTCGCGAGTGCTCTCAGGACGGCGAGTTAATCAAATGCGCCGATGGCTAACAACGACTATGCTTTCCGGTGCTCTCGGGCTGGATCGCTGACCAACCCGAGCATTCAGACTTGCAAAACATTAGCACTAGTGCTTGCCCAAGATGCGAGGTGGAGTTTCACAATCTTGGGAGCACTCGTCGAAGCTCTATGCGCAGTCACGAGGACTACAGGGGGAGAGTACAGGTATTTAGCGAGAATCCGGGCAACCTGGAACCGGTAGAATACCTTGTTGCGAGATCGGTCAAAACACTCTTCAATGCTTTCTGGGGTATGCCGAGGGTTAATCCGTACAATCTCAATAAACCGGACATATTGCAAAATATCTACCTGGGGATGTTGAAGCACATGATGGAGTGGATTCAGGGCTTCTTGAAGAAGCTTTCACCGATTGAAGGAGTTCGACAGCGCTTGGGCTTCGATTGCGCCTTACCCTGGGCTGGCAGTACCAAACAAAGCATATCGTTCTACCACCCAATGGCAAGGGAAAGAGATGCGCAATCTGGGGCGGGTCGTTCTGGGAGCACTCGCGGCTGCTCTGAGAAACCCGGGAGTGGCTGCCAGGAGCGACTTCGTAAAAGCGTTGAAATGTGTTCGAAGCCTAATAGACTTCCACTTAATGGCGCAATATGGGAGTCATACAACGAGCACACTGAACTATATGGAGAACTATCTCGAGGATTTCCATAAACACAAGGATATCTTTTTAGAATTCAGGGCGAACAAGAAGACGTTAAAGGATGCGAGAGATCGAACGAAAGCAGTAACTAGCTCCCAGAGCACCTAGCAATGCTCCCAGAGCACCCAACGAGGCTTGGAGGAGATCTGGGAGATTCGGGAAAGATCGCACTTCAACTTCATCAAATTGCACGTCTTAATGCACTACCGGGAGCACGTTGAGCGCTTTGGGAGCATTATACTCATTTCTGATGGGGTGAACTTAGGGTTAAGGTTAGCCCCCCCCATCCCCAAAAACACGGAGACCCCTATAGTATGCAGTTCTACGTGCCGTACAGTCCCCTTCACCCACTTCTCCTTTGTTATATAGGGGACGTACGGTTGACTTGCCTTTGCCTCCTAGAACAAGCGTCGTGAAGCGATTGTTTTACCTGTATGGATGCATTGCGTCCTGACCGAAAGCAAGTTTGCACCTGCAATACATACAGGTTTGCAAGGTTTCACTACTTTCTCATGTATAACTCTCACCTCCACAGCCTACACCCTCATAGCCTGGGCTTGCACCACCACCTCTCCGCCAACAAATCCAGATCAGTAAAAAACAATGGAGTCATATATAATTAGCTGTCAACGGTGCACTAATCCCACTAATCTGGGCTCTCCATGCTCCCTGTGGTTTTCACCTACCATGGTTAACCAATCTCTGAGATGACCAATCATGCTTTGCTTATTTGGGTGATCTGAAATACAATATATGCCGTAACCTAGTTCTGATTCCTTGGTCAGTGGCGAATGATATCAAATTTTACAGAATATACTGTGAGGATTCCCCATTCATACCTCAGCTGTTGGTACCTTACCTGCTACTTTGATTACCACCTTCTGCTTGCATCTACTATTAGATTTAGATAACTTTACGAAAACCGATGTAGGAACCAAAGCAATGGCTAGATCGAGTCCCAAATAGCTGTACAACGGAGATTTAATTGACATCTACTTGGTGCCAGATTGTGTACTAAATTACCCTGTATCAATAGCAAGTAGGCACCATATTGTACACTAACTCAAGTAACAAGCCGGAAACGTAAATTTTTACAAAACTGCAACAAAACAAAGCTAAATTGAGGGGAGGGAGACATCAATGCCAGCACAATAGAAAGACCACTTTAGGAGCAGTTAAACAAAAGTGGTCAGCCACCTAGGGTTAGTCAGGGTTAGTTAGGATTCTAGTAGGAGAATGTCGGACAGGATTTTGAGGTTGCCTGGGAACCGTCGCCCCACAATTCCCAATTCCGTGCTTACCGATTAAATAGGCCGCCCCGAGTCCATCGCCATCGTCAAATATGTAGGTACCGGGGGTGGTGGTCGTGATGGCAGGGGCGTAGGTGGTGGTTGGGGGCTGTTGGGTAGGGTAACTCCCTGTGAGTCTTGGCGGCCTGTCCTGCAGCACTTCCGGCGCCGTCACTCACCAGTCGGGTACCACGATCGATGCCTGCATGGTACCGAACGCACCGTCTCAACCTCACGATCATGACGGCGCTCGAAATTTAACGATGCCGAGTTTCCCCATCCTCCGCTTCGATGGAATACATGAATTTCGGATTCTGACCTCCGGATTACCGCATTGGGCGAATCCCACTCCTTGACTCCGGTGCGTTTTATTGCACCGACTCGGATTCTGATCTCTAGCTTACTGCCCGTGTGTGTTTTCTAACAGTAATTCGGATTTCAATCTCGGATCATGATATTCGCAATACTTGAAACCCAATATGTGAGTGACAATCCATGACCGACATTCCATATTCTGTATTGTTGCACTCTGGTTTGAAATATCTCCTGGTTAGGGTTGCTCAAAATTTCAAGAAAATTAATTACTTCTGGTAACTTACTGGATTATTTTTTCCGACCCACAAACTGAATTCTTTTGAAACATTTTAGTTTTGTCTGAAAGCCGCTAACCCCGAAACCTAACGAAAATTTTCAAATATACTTAGAAACTAAATTAGGATATATAATATTAACAACTTACGATCCTAACAACGCCAATAAAATTTTTTACAGAGACGATGATGTGTGATAATAGACTGCATGATATACTAAAATCTTATCGCATATTTATTTGTACAGAACGTTATTGACACAATTGTCCCTAAATTGTGAACTCTTATCCCTCCCAAATTACTTGTTTAATAAAGGAAAACAATCTTTGTAACCATAGCAAAATACTAATAAACTGTCATACACAACCCCCTTACGCCTATCTACCCCATGGAGCCCTGCAGGCAGGAAAAGAAGACTTTTACAAGTCTCTCCTGTCTCCAACTGGTGCGGTATATCCATCATGTCCCAATAAGGTGTCCTGAACATATGCTTTTTGAAAATCATAACAACAGGAATTTTTGCCCCCCCACAGTTCGCCGAAACCTAACAAGCTCAATCAACTTAATCTACTATCATCGAACAAACCGAACTGAACAATGAACCATTCTTAATCTTCGCAGAATCCACCTCATACAATTAATCATACATACCCCGATATTACTACATTTACTCAAGGTTTGTCCTACAGGAATCAAACGGCGGAGTAGACCTGATTTTTATGTTTTGATTAGATTAGTGCAGGTAGTCATTGCATTACTATTATTTCAAAGTGGAATCAAAGTACTAAATTGCTATAAAAGAACGCGGTACCTTTTCAGAAAGTGCAGTAAAACAAGTGGTAATGATTTGGTTGAGTGCGGAAATAATTGTAACACCGGAGGATCCCTGTAACATGAATACAGCGGTGTAGATTTTCTCGTCAAGAATTGATTTCTAATTGAAGATATTGCGAGTGCTTGTAGAGCACTTCGGATATTCCTAACAGTGATCAGAATGGGTTCCTACAAGTACCCCTCCAGTGCAGCACCTCATGTACTAAAGCGCCTATGACTCTCAACACCATTTGAGGAAGATGGAGAGATTGATGACCGTGAGATATCTTCCTTACTATTAACCCCACTGCCAACCTGCACTCAGACTAGTCAATTGACAACTGTTACCTAAATAGCCTGGAAAGGTTTTCTTGGTTCTTCCGAAATCTGCACTGGGAGGAGCAGTCCTCGGGGGGTAGAATTTCATTTCCCCGAGTAGCATACTGACAATTTTGAAGCACAAAAGGAGCCTAAGGCAATTTAAGTACCCGAGGCGGAAGAAATAATTGATACTCGCTACTCAGACTATTATAATGCTCCGATGAACGACTACGAGAGCTTTCAGGAGTATGAGGATGATGTAACGGGGGCAACCTATCTATGTATCGCTAGAATCCAATAGAATAGATGCGGCCGTGGAAGATAGAAATCAGGTGCAGATTTATTCAAAGATACTGTCGTTAGAACTCAATAATCCTTAAGGGCTCTGTCTCAAGGGGCGGTGATAGCGAGTATTCCGCAGGGTACGGTATGCGACAGTAGAAGCTGTCGAATTAGTCAAGCGAGGTCAAGCGAGGTGCAGAGGTCTTCGTGGAGAAGAGAAGTAACAGCGTGTATATTGATAACCAGCGTAGATATAGAAGTGGTTCTACCTGGTATGGTATGCCAGGTACGAACAAGTGTATAGTAGATTGGTACAGAAGACGTTGCGTAAGAAAAAGAAGAAGAGAAAGGAAAACAGGAACGAAGCGAGGGAGAGCCCCCTTATTATACCCAAGAAAATCCTGCGATGACTAATCCCAATGACTCACGCCGCGCTACCGAACAGAAACCCAAAGAACACGATAGATTCCTCCTGACTAATCCAACTCCGCGTAACCCAACGACTCCAGCAACCGATCTGTGAAAGTAGCCCCCCCTTCAAGCGCGAGCTCCTGCGAGCCTGGATTTTAACCTTCGCCTTGAATGGTCCCGGTTTCCCAGGGTATTGTGCATGGAAGACATCGACTGCGGCGGTGTCGTTATGGTAGGCGGCGGGTTCCCAGGTGGGGTCGGTGTATCCTGTCCATTTAACAAAGTATTGCAGGCTGTTATTCCTTGTTTCCCGCGAGTCCAGAATCTCCTCAACCTCATATTCTTCCTCCTGTTCGACGATAACAGGCGGCGGGGGTGGTTGTACCTGGCCCGGTACGGGGTCCTGTGCGGCGGGGTCCAATAGTGACAAATGGAAGACAGGGTGCATCTTCATACTCCGGGGGAGGTCGGCTCGGTACGCATATGGGGAGATAACTGCCTTGATAGGGAATGGTCCGAGTTTCTTCCAGTCGAGTTTCCTCGAGTTGCGGGTGGTGCGGATATTTTTTGCTGAAACAAAGACTATATCGCCGATATTATATTGTGGCGCGGGTGTTCACTTCGCGT